TACCTTCCTTCAATAGGGAAGTCAAGGGGATATTGAAGCACAGCCCCCCAAAATGAGAAGGATCCAGCTACAGGAAGTGCAGGGCAAAACATTCTAGGCAGAAAGAACAGCATTGTGAGGGCCTTGAGCCAGATCCTCTACTTAGCATTGTGCAGGGATCGTCACTTTACCACCACCGCACCAGGCAGACACTATTATTAATAATAGATAATGAGGCTCGGGAGCCTGGGTGGCTCAGATGGTTAAGCGTCTGCCTTTGGCTCAGGTCATGATCCCAGGGTCCTGGGATCGAGTCCCACATCGGGCTCTCTGCTCCTTGGGAGCCTGCTTCTCCCTCTGCCTCTCTCTCTCTCTCTCTCTGTTTCTCATGAATAAATAAATAAAATCTTAAAAAAAAAAATAGATAATGAGGCTCGAAGAGGAAGACGGATTCCTTGAACACATCCATCCCTTAACTCCCTTATGTGGCAGAGCTGGGATTCGAACGCAGGTTCATGTTACCACTGAAGCCCGTGCCTCAGTCGTGATACTCAGCCCCTCTGTCCTCTCTCTAAGAAAGACGGGCATCACCAGAGCACCTCCAGAGGGGATGAAGGGATATTCTGGCCCTGCAGCCGATGCCACAGGCACAGCCAACAGCCTCAGGGCCACCTGGCAGGACCATGCTGTACAGTTACTCCCTGGTCATAGAGCCAGATCCCAGGTTTAAGCTGAGTATCTCTTCACTGTCAATGAGAGGCTCCACCACAGCCTTCACAGGATACCCTAGCTGGCTCTCTTTTCCTCTTTCCTTGAGAGAGGATCATGGAAGCATGGGGACATATGGGAGAGATGGGTAGGGAAATGGGGAATAACAACACAGTAATAATAGCAAAAACTTATATAATGCTTCCGGTGCTAGCTACCGTCCCAAGGGCTTCCGTTATGCTAACTTGCTTAATCTTCAAAATAAACCTCTAACATCACCCCCATTTTACAGATGAGGAAACCGAGGCCCAGAGGGTCTTATCACTTACCTAAGATGGCACAGCTGATAAATGGCAGAGCAGGGATTTGAACCCAGGTGGCTGATTCCAGAGCTCACACTTCTTTTAGCCTTTTTATGACAAAAGAAGACAAACAGAAAAACACACAGAACAAATGCATAACCTTGTGAATTGTTATAGGGCAAACACCCTTGTAAGCAGCACACGGGTCAAGAAATAGAACTTTGCCAGAAACCCCAGGAGCCCCTGTCTGTGCTCCCCTCCCAGGCACAGCCCCCTCCTGCCCTCTCTCTAAAATCAACCGCAATTTGGATTTTTATAGGAAGAATTTTTTTTTTTTTTTTTTTAAGGAAGGATTCCCTGTGTTTCTCTAGAGTTCTCTCACCTGAGTGTGTATCCCTAGTCACTGCTGGTTAGTCAGCCCGAATTTGGTACCTTTTAAGTCTCTTTCAATCTATACATTCTCCTTCCATCCCTCTCTCTTTCTTGTAATTTATTTATGGAAGAGCTTTAGTTGTTTGACCTGTGGCTTTTCCCAGCCTGGATTTTGCTGGTGGAATATGCACAGTACAACTCAGCATGTCGCTCTGTCCTCTGAATTTCCTGCCAACTGCTCGCTGGATCTAGAGGCATGCTCAGACTCAGGTTCTATCCTTCTGGCAAGGTCCAGGGAGGCGGAGCAAGGGGGGAGGCGTATTCTTCCATCAGGGGCATGGAATGTCTCTTTTCTTCTGTCTCTTGATCAGAGCCCATGCTATTAACCACATTGCTATAGGGATGCTTCCCGGGTGTCCTCAGCTGCTCCATGATTTGCTCCACCCCCTGGACATATCTGTCTCCAAAAGCAAGCCTTTTATAGGCACCACGGTTTCTGCTGCCATGGGCCTGGCTGGCACTTGAAGGCAGCCCTTCAGAGGTCCCACCTGAGCTTCTCCACACTCCAGGGGCTGCGGTGGATGGGGCCCTGCCTCCCCGATGAGCATCACCTCTGTCTGCTCCTCCCTCCAGCCCAGTTCACCAGGCAGATGGAATTCTGCGTCATTTCCCAAGAGACCCAGGCTCTCCCCTACCGCTGGGCCTTTGCTCATGCTGTTGCCTCAACGAGAAACACTCTTCCCCTCACCTCCTCCGACCGAGCATGGCTGATCCTTCGGGTCCTAGCAAATCTGTCCCTCCCACCCTATGCCCACCCTGCCAGATTACCTTCTACATAGCCTCACTTCTCCTAGGCTAACCTCGTAAGTAGCCTCGTAAGCAGCACTGATGCCACTACATTATACCTGCTTGTTTTCTTAACCGTTTTCCTTGCTAGAGACAGGGACCCTAGCACAGGACCTGGCATACAGTAGGTGCACAGTAAATGTCTGTCCAATGCAGGCATGCACCAGTGAATGAATTGGACTTTACGAGTCACATGGAGGCAAATCCAGGCTTGGACTGAAGGACCTTTCAGACAATGAGAGCCCTTCTAAGATGACACACACCCAGGTCCCCCCCCTGGGGCGGGGGTAGTTAAGCAGTTGTGTGGTGCAGATCACAGAAAGAATTCCCACTGGGGTGGCTCAGTCGGTTAAGCGTCTGCCTTCGGCTCAGCTCCTGATCCCAGGGTCCTGGGATCCAGCCCCGTGTTGGGCTCCCTGCTTGGTGGAGAGTCTGCTTCTCCCTTTCCCTCTCCTCCTGCTCCTGCTCTCTCTCTCTCAAATAAATAAAATCTTATTAAAAAAAAAAAAGAAAAGAAAAAGGAATTCACACCTGGGATAGAATCCGTCTAGAAAAATGAGTCTTGCTTCTTGGAACATAGCAGAATCTTCTCTTCAAACAATCTTACTAGGAACCACTAAATATAAGCCAAGTTCAAGAGGAGGAGTTCGTGTTTCAGCACTGGAGGAGGCAGAAGCTCAGCCCCTGGGCTTTCCCTTGTCCTGAGCACAAGGGTTTCTCTGAACAGTGGCCTGCCTGTATTTTCAAGTTGCTTTATCATAGCCACTGTGTCTGCGATTAGGAGGCCACCACACTGGGGAAAGAAGTGTCCTAGCTGACACCCTAACTCCACCCTATCCCTGTGGTACCACCAGGGGCTCATCCTTTCTTCATGCCCACAGAAGCCCTCTTTCTATGAACTGCTCCTCTGGCCCCCCAAGGACATCACATTTCTGAAACCATGTAGATCAGAGGGCTCTGGGCCGAGCCAACCCAACAGAGGAGCAAGCAGAGCTGCAGGCCTGCCTTGCAGGGCGCGGAGCCAAGGGCTTAGTCTCGGAATTGGATTATGAGAGTGAATTTAAAACTCCCAGCAACACCCTCCCCCCTCCTCCCTAGCCTCAGGGACACGGGGATTACCCAGGCCTCTGGCCAGGGGGGGTGGGGGCCCTCAGTCCTTCCCACATTCCCTGCCAAGTGTGAGAACAAGGATCCTGCCGCTGCTGCTGCTGCGCATAAAGGCAGGGATCTCTCCACCCAGCCCCCACTTCCAGCCTTTAGCCCACAGCCTCCCCCTACCCCCACCCTGCTGCCTGGGAACACACCTGCCTCCCACGTGTCTGGGACTTACAGCAGTGTTATTCAGATTGTGGCCCAGCAGTTAGAAGGACTCACTTCAGTGCCCTTTCCTGAGGATAAGCCTTTAGTTCTGCCAGAATCCAAAGCCTGCCTCTATAGCCGTGGCTGTGGAATTCAATGTTTTGGTGAAATTCATGTTCTCTGGCAAAACTATTCATTACTCTCATGTCATGGGTGCTCTTGATTTGTTGAGGCTTTTAAAAACCAAAGTATGGTCCTCGACTGGCAGCAAGGACCCCGCCGGGAGCTTGTTAGAGATGCACGTTCACAAACCCCACTCCAGACCCTGAATCGGAATCACTAGGGGGCTGCCCAGATCTCTGGTTTAACAAAGTCTCCAGGTGATTCTCACACGCTACAGCTTGAGAACCACAGGCTCGAAGTACACGGGTCCGTCCCACACACCTGATTTCGCCCTAACCCTGTCAAAGATTCCGGGCAACTTCTACCCACTAACATCTCCGTTAGACTCCTTCAACCCTTCACCTACAGAACTTAGTTACAGTGATTACAAACGGGTCCTGTTTAACAGTGCCTTGCACAGCTGTTATGTGAATGACGGCCCTTGGAGGGGATTTTATTAGCCTTTATTATTCCCCTACTACATATGGGGCTCAGAGAGGGGACATGACTGGCCCAAAGTCACAGAGCAAGTAAACCCAGGACCTAAGCACTCTACTCTCCCACTGCACACTCTGCTGAGCCGGGGGCAGCTGTTTGGACATCTGTTTTACACACATCCTGGGATTTCCTCCGGGGCAAACACCTTGTCATCGCTTCCTCAGGAAAGCCTCTGCTGACCTCCCTCGGAGGATGCCAGGCCTCCTTATTAGAGTCTACCACAGGTCCCTGCATTTTTCTCGCATAAAAGCATCACGATTTGTAACCCCGGCGTACTGAAGCACTTCATGTCTGTCTGCCCGCCAGGCTGGAAGCTCCAGGAAGACAGGAAGTGGGCAGACCCTGGCTGGATGCTCACCCAGTACCTATTCTCCTTTTCTTATAGAGCCTGACTTTGTTTGGGGCAGCTGGGTACCCAGCCAGATCACTATCTCCCCCAGGCTCCCCTCCAGTTAGAAGTACAAGGTTCTGGCTTCTGAGATGACAGCAGGTCCCTAACGGTGCTCAGTAAATGCATGCTGGGGGCACCTGGGTGGCTCAGTTGGTTAAGTGGCTACCTTCGGCTGAGGTCATGATCCTGGGGTACTGGGATCGAGCCCCACGTCCGGCTCCCTGCTCAGCAGAGAGCCTGCTTCTCCCTCTCCCTCTGCCTGCCACTCTGCCTACTTGTGCGCTCTACCAAATAAATAAATAAATAAAATCTTTAATAAATAAATAAATAAAAATAAATGCATGCTGAACGCAGGACTGTTGGGCCAGCTCTGGGCGTGCAGTTGGTACTCAGAAAATGCCCGTCATCTGACCGGGCCCAAGAAGCAAAAGACCCCCACAGCTGCCCTTGCCTGGGAAATACGTTTATTGGTTCTGAGAGAACAGGGCTGTGGCGAGCTGGGACGGGCACAGAGCGAAGGAGGGCGGCGAGAGGCTTTGCCCCAGGGCGGACATGCTGTGTGGGGGCTGCCGGCGGGCTCCCTGGCCCACCCCACCAGCAGCAGCTGGGTCCGTGGCACTTGGCGCCCGGCGTCACCTCTGCCGGCTTGGCACGGTGGCCTCGGCGGCGGCGGGCGCCCCCCCTTTCCAGTTGCAGGAGTTCTGAGTCTTTCACAGTGCGGAGGGGTGGGGGTCCGGGGTGGGCACCTCCCCGGGGTGCAGGCAGGCCCCGTCCGCCAGTCCATCCTGGGCTCTCGGCGGCTGCGGCGGGGTGAGGCGCACTCCGGCTCCTCTTCTCCCGCCCGGGAGCTTGGCGGTCCTGGAGGGGCCCTGGCGGCCTCAGCGGGACATCATCCGGACAAACTCTGCGAGGGCACGGGACGGGGGGTGGGGGGGAAACAGCACAGTCAGGCCCAGCTCAGGCCGCCGCCTCCAAATCTCCCTCGGATCCGAGGCCCCCCCCCCCCCCCGCTGCCATCGGGCCTCTTCCAATCCATCCTGTGCACAGCAGCTGGGGGAGGGGACCTGTTTCATCTACATGGCTGACCCCTCTGAAACTTCTCAGGGCTCCCCATGGGAAAATGTCCCATATCCTGTCGCTGGCCTCGAGGCTCTCCCTGCTGTGGCCCCAGCTGACGTCTCTCTCTCTCTCATGGCTCACCCTCCCTGAGCTCCAACTGCCCGGATCTCCCTCTCAGGGCAGCGGGCACACTCACCCTCCCTCCACCTCTCAGCTTGCCTGCAACCTGTCTCCTCTCTCTCCTTTTTCTTTGAACTAGACTTGATTATTTGGAGCAGTTTTAGGTTCACAGCAAAATTATGCAGAAAGTACAGAGTTCCCATTTACACCCTGCCCCACACCTGCACAGCCTCCCCCACCATCAACATCCCGCACCAGAGTGGGACGTTTGTTACAATCGATGAACCTACATGGATGTGTCGTTATCACCCAGAGGCCACAGTAACAGGTTCACCCTCGGTGCTGTCCATTCTATAGGTTGGGGCAAATGCGCAAGGATGTGTATCCACCACTACGGTGTCATACGGAACGGTCTCACGGCCCTAAAAATCCTCTGTGCTCCACCTGTTCATCCCTCCCTCCCCCTAAACCCCTGGCAACCACTGATCTTTTTACCGTCTCCATAGTTTTGTCTTTTCAAGAATGTCACACGGTTGGAATCACACACTATGTAGCCTTTTCAGATTGGCTTCTTTCACTTAGCGATACGCACTTAAGATTTCTCCCTGTCTTTTCATGGTTTGATAGCTCGTTTCTTTTTAGTGTGAATAATACTCCATCATCACAGTTTATCCACTCACCAACTGAAGGACGTCTCGGTTGCTTTCAGGTTTTGGCAATTGTAAATAAAGCTGCTATAAACATCCGTGTGCAGGTTTCAGTGTAGTCGTAAGTTTCAATTCATTTGGGTAAATACCCCTTCCTTCTTTTTCACCTGGCAGTTCCTACTCATCCCTTAGGGCTCTACTTATTTATAGCCTCCTCCAGAAAGCCTTCCTTAATCCCCTCTCCAGCTTGGCACAGATGCCCCCTCTGTACCCCACAGCTTGCTGTATTCCCCCCAAAACAGCATGGATTATACTGTTGGCTTCTGTTTTCCTTGCTGGTCTTGGGTTCCTCAAGGCAGATCTCGACATGCAGTACGAGTATGATACATGCTAGAAGAATAAATGGGGGAGGGGCGCCTGGGTGGCTCAGATAGTTAAGCGTCTGCCTTAGGCTCAGGTCATGATCCCAGGGTCCTGGGATCGAGCCCCGCACTGGGCTCCCTGCTCAGCGGGGGGCCTGCTTCTCCCCCTCCCTCTGCTTCTCCCCCTGCTCATATTCTCTCTCTCTCTCTCTGTATCTCTGTGTCTCGAATGAATAAATAAAAAAACCTAAAATAAATAAATAAATAAATAAATAAATGGGGGACCCTGGGCTTGTAGGGAAGGGCCGTTGTCTGTTGGGGGTGAGGGGGCACTGCCAGGACATAGGGCAACCTGAAATTTTCAAATCTGGTGGCAGCAAAGCCATCTTTCCATGTAGCCACACTCTCTTCAAACTTGGAGTCCACCTGCTCCCCAGAAAAGACCTCCCAACCTTTGGGCTCTGGATACACTCACATTCTGGCACATGTTTATCTTGTCTTTCTGCTCAGAATGCAAGTTCCTGGAGTTCAGAGTCAATGTTTTACTCTATTTTTGCCCTGTATCCCATAGCTGTCCTGAATGGTATCATGCAGTACAGTGTATGTAGTGGTTGAGATTCCAGATGTGGAGTATGATCCAGCTCTGCATCTTAATAGTGAAGCGATCTCAAGCAAGTCATATGACTTCTCATATGAGCCTCAGTGTCCTCATCTGTATCATGAGGCAATAAAAGTGCAGTCCAGAGGGTTGTTGTGAGAATAAAATGGGACAATATGTGTAAGTGTACTTAGTACAGTGACTGGTATATAATACATGTACAATAAATGATAACTATTGGAATTATTACTAATTCGTTTAAAAAAAAAAAACACTCTTACTGAGCATTAGCTATGTGCCAGGTGCTGAATTATGAGGAAATACAGAGATAAAGAAAATGTTCCTTTCCAAAAGTTCCGTCAAAAGGAGACACAGCTAGCACTCGAGGGACAGTGTGAGGAACGAGGGCGAGCCTGAGGTGCTGTAAAAGCCCGGGAAAGAGGAATTCAGCCTGCAACCAGCAAGGAAGTGCCAGAGGAAGTGGCCCCACTGCTGGGTCTTAAAGGGTGAAGAGAATTTAGTCCAGGTGAAGAGCAGAATAAAAGGCATCCTGACCAAAAGAACAGTGCATTCAAACGAGAGCTTGGCAGGATCATGGACCACAAGTACCAGGGTATGGCTTTAAGGCAGAAGGTGAGTAAAGGGACAGGTGGAGCTGCAATTGGGGAGGTGAGCCGTGGTCTGATCTCAGGGGGCCTGAGTGTCAGATTGATGAATGGGGTGCCCCGAAAATATCTAGCATGGATGGAAGCAGGAGTAGATGGACAGATAAATGGGCAGAGATGGATGGGGTCAATAGACACAAGAATGGATGGATGGATGGATGGATGGATGGATCAATCAATTGATGAGAAGATGGATGAAGATGGGGAAATGACTCTACAAACAGAGAGATCAATGGAAGTGTGGGTAGAGATATAGGCAGATGGAGGGAGATACATGAATGTAGGAACAGAAGCACAGAAGTATAGATGCATGGGGCGCCTGGGTGGCTCAGTCGGTTAAGCCTCTGCCTTCAGCTCAGGTCATGATCTCAGGGTCCTGGGATCGAGTCCCGCATCAGGTTCCCTGCTCAGCAGGGAGCCTGCTTCTCCCTCTACCCTTCCCCCATGCACATGATCTCTGTCTCTCGCAAATAAATAAATAAAATCTTAAAACAAACAAACAAACAAAAAACAATCCTTTAAAAAAACAGTATAGATGTATGGATAGACAGATATACATGGGTAAGTGGATACATGGATGAATGTACAAAAGAATGAACAGACACATAGTTATATAAGTGCAAGAATAAATGGTAGAATGGATAATTGTTTAGAGATGGATGAGTGTATAGACACCTGGACACATGAAAAGATGGGTGAATGATTAGATGGCAAGATGGACTGATGGATGGATGGGGGCAGGAATGAATGGGAAGGTGGATTACAGGAGTGCCTGGATGAAGGGGTAAGAGAATGGAAGGGTAGGAGCATGGAAAGTTGGAATCATGATGGATACACAGTTGGAAGTCTCCATGGATCGTCACTACCACCTTGGCTTCTCTTCCACGTTCAAACCCCACCTACCTTCAAAGTCTACTCGTCCATCCCCATTGAGGTCCACATCTCGGATAATTTCCTCTATGTCTCGGTGTCCCACCTGATGACCCAGGAGTTTCCTCATGGCCTCTCGTAGCTCACTGGTGCTTATCTCCCCATCACCATTGGTGTCAAACTGGAGAGGGCAAAGAGGAGAGAGGAGTAGCTACAACATGGGGAATGTAGAAGCAGATCCCAAGGTTGGGCTCCTTTTCTAGCCTCACTGTCTCCCCCTTCCCCGAAGACCCTTCTCTGTCCAAGCTCCTTTCCCTGGTATGTGATCCAGGGCTCAGATTTCTCAAGTAACCGTCCTGGGGTTGGAACTCTAACAAACCCCCTCACCCCTGCCTGTCCAGTGCCCATTACTCACCTCTCGGAAAGCATCTCGCAGTTCCTTCACTCCGATCATATCTGCTGTTTCTGCCAGGAGTTTAGGTCCCATTAGCTCTACGAAGTCATCAAAATCCACATGGCCACCCACTGGAGATAGAGGAAAGGGCTAGGTCATCCATCCAAGCATTCCCCATCTCTAATTAAGCAAAGGAAGGCACTGTGAACCCCTCCTTGACCTATCTAGTGCCAGGTCCAGGGTACAACCAAAGGCCAAACGAGGACAGAGAGGTGACTATGGACAGTTGGTCTGTCAAAGAATGGCTCGGGGGGTGGCCAGGGTTAGGCCAAGGGAACCAGTCAGCAGGTGGACAGAGGCAGATAGGGATGGAAGAAAGAAACACTGGGGAGGGCTCAAGGTGGGCACACAGCACAAACTCCTGGAGCTGCCTAGCAGAATGAGACTCTCAGCACTCGTGGTGCCAGCTGGCTTGAGAGTTCACCCTCTGTGGGCTGTGCCTCTTTGTGGTCTCACCTCCCTACTCCCTCCTGACGCTTCCCTTCACCTTCACATAAATTGCTTGCACTCAAATACTTGTCTCAGGGTCTGCTTCTGGGAGAACCCAAACTAAGACAGAGAATAATATAGGAGTAATAGCTTCCTTCTGTTCAACAATCCCTGTGTGCCAGGCGCGGGGCTGTTTCACAGATATTCCCTCATGGACTTCCTGTGCTTCTCTCATTTTACAGTTTCCCCCTGAGAAATCAGGCTCAGAGAGACTAAGTCGTTTGCCCCAGGTCACAGAGCCTGGAAGAGATGGGCCCAGAACTGAGACCCAGGCCTGTGTGACTGCAGAGGACCACGATGGTGGGGGCGGGAAGGGAAGGAGGTGCACAGTGGAGGGACTCACGGTTCATGTTGATCTGCTGGGACAGCTCAATGAGCTCCATCTCCGTGGGCATGTAGCCCATGGTACGCATGCAGTTGCCCAGGTCCCGACAGTTGATGTAGCCATCCTTGTCCTTGTCAAATTCTCGGAAGGCCTCTCGGAGCTCTGAGGAAAAGAATAAAAGTGGGCATGGCTGAAGAAGAGACAAAAAGTGGGACCTGCAGAGCCTCTGGGCAGAGGCGGCCCGAGAGCCCACCAGCTGGGAAAGCCAGGCCCCGGAGCTGCCCGGACTGCACTCCCCTGACCCCTGGCCCCACAGAGGATGCCCAGCCCTATACCAGGCCACATCCCCAGGAGGCCAAGATGTCTCTTCCTCTCTTCCCAGCAATCTCCCTTCCCTCACCTTCCTGGACAGCTGAGCAACCCTTTCCCCTAAGGGGCCGGGTCTTACCTTCAATCTCCTCTGGCCGCAGTGATCTGTCCTGAAACAAAAGAACGTGTCCTATTAGCAGCTGCGAGGGGCTTAGAAGTCACAAAATGCCCAACCTGGGGACCATCCGAGGGACAGCAAGCACTGGGTGGGGAGAGTGCCTGGACCACGTCATTGAGGGAAAAAAGTTCAGCCCCACATCCCCCATAGACACAGGAGATGCCCAGGGACCCCAGAGCCCCATCTGTGTCCGCATTTCAGACACAAGAATGTGTCAGGGAACAGAGTTGGTCTGGAGGCAAAAACCTGTAAATAAAGCGGGGTGGGCAGGTTGTTGTGGGTCACAACAGAGAAGAAGCCTGCAAGGCAACGGGAGAAGGGCTGGAGGGACAGAAAGCCGGGACTCGACAGGCCGCCTGAGGAAGGGGAGGAGGAAGAGCCACGGGCGAGGAGGCAGAATTAGGGCTGTGCCCTGCTTCTTGGGCATGGCCCACCTTCTCCAATTTGACCCCCTTCCTACACCTTGCCCCCTCATGGGACACAGCATAGGACCCTGGGGGCTGCCAGTGCCGGGGGCTGCCGCCAGGGTCCAAAGCACACATCTCCAGCTTCGAGCCGTGCCCAGGTCTCCTTGGGGACTCAGGGAAGCCCTGGGTCTAGGGCATCTGAACAGATGGCCAGAGAAGTCTCCAAAGAGCAGGCCCAGAGGACGCACAGGGTGGGCTCTGGCCGGTGAGGTGCCGGTCCCTCCAGGCCTTCCCAGGAGGCAGACAGACCAGCACGAATTGGATGCCCAGCTGGAGCTGTTCAGTAGGCTACAAAACTGGTGCCCAGGGCTCAGCCTCCCCACACGTCACAGCTCTCTGACTTTGGGCAGGAAGAATGTGGGGCAGGGTGTGCCTGCCCTGAGGAAGCGCACGCCGGGTGTGGGCACACCTCACATGAACACACACAGGCGGGCCCCAACGAGCATCAGGCGTCTCAGCTGTGCATGCAGGCTGTTCTAGCCAACAGGGTCAGGGCAGGCAAGAGACAGCTGCCCACCCACTGGCCCCAGGGCAAGAGACGCCAGCTCCGGAAACTCTGAGAGTCTTCTAGAAAGGGGCCGCTGAGGGACGCCTGAGTGGCTCAGTTGGTTAAGCGTCTGCCTTTGGCTCGGGTCATGATCCCGGGGTCCTGATATCAAGTCCTGCATCAGGCTCCCTGCTCAGTGCAGAGTCTGCTTCTCCCTCTGCCTCTCTCTCCCTGCTTGTGCTCTCTGACAAATACATAAAATTAAGGGAAAAAAAGAAAAGAAAAGAAAGGGGCTACAGAGCAACATCTTGGGTGGCCAAAAAGGATGATTTTTGCAATGCCCTATACCCCCAGCAAGTGAAGCACACACCCTAGGACAAGTCATTCAGACATGCGTCCTTTCCCACCCTTCAAGCCTCAAGCAGCCTCCCGCTTCTCCAGGACCCAGCTCTGCAGGATTGGAGAGGAACAGGGTGCTGCTGACCTCCACTGCAGCACCCTCCCCTTCTTGCATAACCGGAGCCAGGGGGAAGGAAAGCCAGATACCCCTGCTCCGTGTGCCTCTGGCAGAGCTGGTCTGGCGGAGTCCAGGCGGCCGACCCTTGGATCACACACTCCCCTTGTGGAGCAGAGGGGGTATGCGTAGTAGAGCCGGGGATGCCCACCAATGTGACAGGGAGACCATGAGCACCATCCCCAGGGGTCAGATGGGAAGACAGCACATGCACACTCCTTTCTCCCCAACACATGCGGTCTGGGAGAAGAGCTTGACCTCTAGAGTCAGACAAACTCAAGTGCAAAGCCCGATCTGCTACTTCCTAGCTGTGGGGCCTTGGGCAGGTCACTTCAGCTCTCTGAGCCACAGTCTCCTCATCTGTAAAATAGGTTAATACCAGTACCCATGTTACAGGGACTTTGCGAGCATCCCGTGAGATGAGATATGTAAAGTGTCTAGCATGTGGCATTCAGTAAGTGGAACCTGCAAATGTTTGTGTCTGTAACATCATCATTATTACCCTCCCCCCGTGACCGTTCAGATATCTGCCCAGACACAGTAGCCGTGAGTGTGGCTATTTAAATTGGAATCGGAAGCCAATGAAATTAACAATTCAGGTCCTCGGTTGCCCTAGCCACGTTTCAAGTGCTCAATAGCCACGTGTGGCTGGTGGCTACTGTATCGGGCAGCATGGATCGTAGAATATTTCCACCACTGGAGGAAGTTCCCCTGGACAGGCCTGTGTATTCAGTGCTGCCGTTTGGAGAACAGGCAGCCTTTGAATCAGACTCCCTGGGTTTGAAGCCGACCTCTACCACCCCCTAGCTGTCATCTTGAATATGTTTACCTCTCCAAATCAGTTTCCTCATCTGTAAAATGGGGGTGATAATAGGACTTACCTCTCAGAGTTGTTCTAAGCCTTACATGTAGGCGATGCACCAAAGCACTTAGCACAGAGCCTCGCACAGAGTATGTGTGCCAAAAAACAAGCAAGCAAGCAAACAAAAAACGTTAGCTGCTATTGTTACTTCTTGCTGGTGCATGTGGACACACCAGTGCTTTGCAGCCATGGGTGGGAAATTTGGGCGGGGGTCAGATTCACAAGTTGAGGGTTTGGGGTATATCCATGAGGGGATACGGGCTGCTGCCGACAGAGCCCCTCTTCTTCCCAGCACCTCCTCATGCCCTCTGAAGCCAAGTCGAACGCGGCTCCACTGGGGCCAACTTACGTACAGGCTGCCTGTTCTCGGCGAAGCCCTTGCGCAGGAAAATGCAGGCGGGGCCCAGCAGGTTGTGCATGACGGCGCAGTTCTGGGCCAGCATCAGGAGCGGTCCCGGGAGCTCGCCGCTGGCTGCGGGCCCCTCCTGGCTCATCTGCACCACCGTGTAGCTGCTCTTCTCCTCCCGGCGCATCTTCAGCCAGCACCAAGCAAATACAAAAGAGAGTCACGGTGTCACCTCCCTGCCCCACAGGCCCTCATGGCCTCAGCCTGGCTCCGGGTCCTAGAAGGGGCTCGCCTCAAGAGGAGACCCTTGAGAGTCAAACAGCGGGGTTCAGGATGCATGGGAGGCAGGAGTCAAATTGGTTCAACAGATGGGAGTCTCTGATCCTTGACTGTCACGGCTGCTCCAGGAAGATCTGGGGGTGACACCCACTGTGTGGGACATGTGCACACACATGCTCACGACACGTACACACACAGAGACTCACACACTCACGTGCATGTGGAAGCTTACAGAGAGAAGGGGCGGGGGCAGGGCTTCTGCTCCAACCAATGGGAAGTGCTCACTCAGAAACTAATGAGTACCATCCTTGCCCAAGATGCTCCCAAACAGATTTGTGGCCCTGCCCCGCTGGACCCCACTGGAAGGCAGTGAAGACAGTCAGAGCTGGAACCACGCAGAGCAGGCTCAGGTGGGCTGCTGGACTGGCAGGTGCAAACACAGGGGCCTCGCTAACAGAAACAAGCAGGGAGGGGAAGAGGGAGGCCTGGGGCAAAATGGAGGCTGTAGGCTGCCTCTGAAGGGGCAGAGCCTTACTTAACTCAGCCCAATGTTTCCTTCTGATTTAAAGCACCAGCTGGGCCAGGCAAAGCCCATCTGTGGGTCGGATTCTTCCCAGTTTGCAGCCTCAAGACCAGACACTCTCTGCCCCCAGCAGCTCTCTTTCTCCCCCCTCCTGTCTGTCTCTGGCTCCCCGCCCAGCTTGCCCGACCTCTAGAGGCTGAGGCAGGGGCCCTCTCTGCTTACCGAATATAGCTGTGCTCCCAGGCCCTGGCCCTCCCCTCCTCCTCCCTGCTGGTTCCCATGCAGCTATAAAAAGTCAGCACTGTCCACAGACCGTCCCCTTAGGACAACAGCAGCATCCAGACACAACATTCTACTCCACCCTGGCCTCCCCGGGATGCCCAGGGCCCCCCAGGATCCAGGACAGGGTGCTCTGCCTTCAGTCCTGAGCTTGGATGCCTCCCCTCAGTGTGAGGATTTGGAGGCAAACCTTCCCAAGGAGAAACAGAGCAGCTAATACTTGGAGGGCTGTCTTTGTCCTAGAACCCCAGAGCTGCAGGCCCTACCCTTCTATCCCTCTGCCCCCACCCCCACTTGCTGCCAGGTTCCTCCAGCTGACAGAAGGTCATGCCCAGGAGAAGACCCTGCGACCTAGGGGGCAGCCTGTCCTCCCAGGCTGAGAAGCAGAACCAGCTGCCCCCAGCGTACCTCATCCTGACTCTCCTCTGCTGCCTCTTCTCCCCAAAGCCCCACACTCTGGGGCTACAGACTAGACTCCCCTCCAACTTCCTAAGCCTCTCAGGCCTAGAGAGGGAGGAGCAGTATCTTAGTTCAGACCCTGGGTGAAGGTCCTCAGTGCAAGGCCCAAGTTCAGTGAATGCAATAAGGGTGGGTCTTTGGTTGTCTCAGAACTTGAGAGATGTCAGAGAGGCCAAGGGCCATTCTGGTTTGATGTCTAAAAGAGTTCGGAGCCTCGGCCATACTCGCACAGGCTTCCAGGACCCAGGCTAGAGCGAGGGCAGAATCAGAGAGACCTTCCCAACTGGGAGGCTGGCTCAGAGGAAGCCCGGGAGTAGAGAGCAGCTGGACCCCAAGAAACAATCTCCGGAGATGTGTGTAGAGAATCAACCTTTTCGTTCCTGGCTGAGTCTTGCACACTTGGCTCAGAGCGAGCACAAGCCTGGAGGGTGGAGGCAGCAGGCAGCATAGAACTCTGAGAGGTGATTCAGTGCCTGGCTTTGGGCTCCAACAGTTTGGGGACAAATTCTCGCTTGCTGTGTGACCTTGGGCAGGTGACTTCACCTCTCTGTGCTCTAGTTGCCATCTCTGCCCAGCGGGTATCAACGTGGCCACTCACAGGATTCTCGTGAGAAATAAACGAGCTATTGCCCAGCGCCTGGAGCATAGTAAGAGCGGAAGACATGGAGCTGCTGCGGGGATGACCATGACGGGGATGCCGGTGATGCCGATGGTGGAGATGCAGCATAAGAGATGCTGGGAGCCAGAAGGCATTTACTTCTGGCTCCAGAGCAAGT